ATGAAGTGGTTAATCAGCAAGTATCAGGATCTAGCACTCTCTGCATCCCGTAAGTATATGAGAAAATGAAGATGATTCCTATTATTATGTTGTCATGACTCCTACCTATGGTGTTAAATTTCCTAAGACCAAAGAAACTTGGAAGGTGCCCCACTTGGAGCTAAAATATAATGGCATGTGTCAGAGATGCAAAACTGCCAGGGGAATGTAACAATTTTTTTGCCATTGATCACATATTATTATTATTATTATTCATAATGTAATATAAATCACTTAGACATTTTTGAAAAATCCTTTTATTTTGATTACAAAGATATAAAGCACATGAATGTTACTGAATATATAGCAAAAGGATTATGCTGACATTCTAGTAACAATGTTTGGCTCCATATGCCAGACTTCTGTTGCACTGAAGACAATGAGTTCCTTCATGAGGGTTGAATGATCCTGGACTGCAAACCACTATAATAAAAGAAAGCAAAACAAAACAAAGAAACAAAAATAATAAAATGTCATGAAATGCATTACAATTTGCTGTAATCAAATGAAGATTCCAAGTTCAAAGCAATTAACACTTAATTGCTTCAAAACTTTTTAATAAGTCTGGTCTACTTGGGATTTCATTTCCTAAAGTGGGGTTTCACAAACACAAAAATGTTTTAAGAAACAAATAAAATAAAATAAAATAAAAGAAATAGGAGGCAGAAATAGCCAAATATAAAAAGTATAAGACAGCCATCATAGGTGAACAGAACTTTGAAAAGATTCCATCAATATCAGCAACACATTGCACATAGCTAACTTCTCTGCCCCATCCCATCATATTCTGTTTGGGATTTACCTTCCACTGTGGGAGTAAATACAATAATTACAGGTATAGAACATCTAGTACTATATTTCTTCTGTATTTTTGTATATTGTGTGAAATCTCAGATAAATGTTTCACAACTGGTACCAAGCTGAAATAAGAATCCTTTAATGTTATGGATCTGCTATTTATCATTATGGTTGGTTTGGTTTGTTACGTGGATGTGCTTTCAACAACTCTTATGAGCAAAACCACCAAAACCAGGTCCTTGATTGGTGTCTCTAACAACTTAATGTCAAAGAACTTTAGCAAATGTGGTAAGACAACTTCAAGGTCTGCATTGTTCATTTGCTCCCAAAACTAGAATATTCTTGAATATGCTCTATATGCTGAAATTGAGAGTTTGCATTCTTCCTGGTAGTCACAAAAATTCAAGTTTGGGGAACTCGTCTACATTTTCTTCTAAAGCTCAATTTTTTCTATTTTAAAAATGGCAAATTTAAAGGAGAAAGAAAAAATGCACTGAAAAGAAATATACTTTTTAACAACAAAACACCAAACCAAGACAAGAATAAAAATAACAATTTTGGATAATTTGTAATCACAATATACTAATCTGCACTCCTGTTTATCTTTTTTCTGGATATGTTTCAACTGTTTCAACTTAAAAAAGATTTGATCAGATATAGCCCTTTCAGCTTAATCATGGTTTATTAAACTGAAAATGAGACTTTTGTCAACTGATTCCCCCCTGCCCTTTCTCTTATGTACCAGAACTGAAGACTTCAGGAAATTTTTAACTAACAATTTCCATTTATGTCCATACCATAAAACTATGGTTTAATCTTGGAAGAAGAGGAGGTGCAGGCATAGTGTTCATACTCAAATTCATAACTCTTGGTTTCTTACACCAAGATTGTTGAACATGAACTGGTCCCAACTAGTCATTGTAAATATCTATAGGATTCTACATCAAAATTTAGAACTGCAACAAACAAAATAATTCCATACTATTATTTTAGTCTCCTAGGTGAAAGCAAGCTATAAGCAAAAGTCTAAGTATGTAAACTGGTACTGACTGATATCTATGCTAAAAACAAATATTTCTTTATACAATGAACAACTGCAACTCAATAGCCTTACAGTACCATAAAATTCTAAAAACACTATTTCAACCTGACAAGTATAAGCATCACAAAATATCCTACCTCATGTATTTTATGAATGCCTGGCATACTATTTCATACCTCACAAATCTTTTACTGTACTAAAACAAACTCTTGTGTCTTGTGACATTTTCTGATTCCCACTTTCAGAACAAATACAATATATATTATATTCTATAATTACTCTTTATAGAGTAATGCTACTTCCATTCCCCTTTCAAAACATAAAAAATGTAACCATATTTTAAAGTCTCTTTCACAATAGATTCTGCTTCAGTGCACCAAGTTAACCTAGGATGGCTATACTAGCAGTCTAGAAGTCTGCCTATATTGGATGTAATTTGACAAAATAAATGTCTACTCATATAACATGAGTTTTGGAATAAGTCCTTAATAATAATCCTGAAAAAAGAACTTGTGTTGTGTTTTTTTCCAATTACACTCCAAAATTTTACTTAGTCAATCAGCATAAATAGCTGTGATTCTTCTTTTATATCATTTATTCAAACTTATTCCATCACAATCAACTTTGCATAATAACCAGTGTTGAATTATACTATTTCATTAGCAAAAAGTAAAGGTTAGGCACTGAAATTCAAAGAGAAAGAAGGGGAGAGAAAGAAGAAAATATCCTAAGTACCACTGAAAATGTTTCATTGTCTAAAGGCTTGATGCATTAGCAAGCACTCTGTTTACTGGCAAAAACATAGCTAAAATTAACTTAGGAAGGCTTAAGTCTAAGAGATTGAAGGTAGTTTTACTAAGATTTAGCCATGGAGCAGCAACTCACATACTTACATAATAGATATGATCACAATTTTTATGTTTTAGTTGTATAGTGCACATTCCAATTTTCCAAGGTTATTTACTGGTGGGTCTTCTAGTACTCATCTTTGAAATGTTCCAGAGCTTAAGACTTTTGGTGGAAGCCCTGTCCATGCCACAACATGTCATATAAAAGGGAAGGCCTCCTCTCAACTATTCAATCCAATAACCACCACAGTGGACTGAATCCAAGATTCTGACCTTCAATCCAAACAAAAGGACAGACATGTTCTCTGAATTCAAATTGCAGAGAAGTACCCAGCTCTTTCTCATTTTAGTCTCTAAGATTCACATAGATGAATCCACATTCTCACCATGAAGTGGGTAGTCTAGGAGAGTACTGAGGACAATTTTGCAGAAAGACTACATCCTGCTGACATCACAGTTTGAGGCAACGTCTGATTAAATTTGAAGATTGCAGCCCAGCAAATTTACAAAAGAAGACTACTACTCAAAAATAAGGCTGACAAAGCCACTATCTGAACTGAGTATCTCATGAGCACAGGACAAGGGTGTTTCACCAAATCACAGCACTAATGAGTAATACTTGTTACCCGTTTCTGAAATTCTGTTATAAGACAGGGAATCTGCACTTAATTCTGCCATAAAGCAACAAAATCTTCAGATTCTACCTCAAAGAAGCAGTGCATTTTACATATCAAGATCAGGCAGAGAGCACTCTGAAAGTATCAAAGGCTCAGATGAGACTATTTGAAATTTAAAAATGGATGACTATGTATTGATTTTGGAATTTGTATTCAATTCAGGCTGGAGGCCACCGGTCTTCTTGGCATGGTGAAAACCTAAAACCAAAACTTCAGACATAATTGACGGAAGAATTTTACTTCATTGAGAGAGTGGAGTCAACTCTCCTAAGAGGGATGAAAATGAATTCTAAACAATAGCCAAAGGCTATTATCAAAAGGACCCAACTCTCTATTGTAATAATGTCTCTCACTTGAAAGAAACTCTGCCCGATTCCCCAGGAATAGGATAGAGTCCACTATCTAGATACCTGGAATGATCAGCAAAGGAAATAACTGGATTGCTAGTCTATCTCCAAAAGAGTACAAGCAATTGTTGCTGGGAAGGCCATATGCTTGGCTCCAGAAAAAAGGATTTGCTCATAATCGATCATATCACCAGTTTTAGAGCTGAAGAGCCTACCTCCCTGAATCAGCAAGTTTTCAATTCTAGACTGAGACTATATTATAAGATCAGTGGATTGGAGTCAAGTGTGCTATCTCAAGGCAGTTGAGCTTGCAACAGATCAGGACCACAGTCTGCAGAGGGGCAAGCAGTAACAGTCTGCCGCTTTGCAATATTGCAGTTTTGGCATGAAAAACTTCCATGTTCATTGCTTATATTCATGAAGAAAAAAAAGGGCAAGGTTTTTCACCACAAAAATGACTCACCCTTAACCAACAGGCCTGATCATTTGTGATTCAGAGACGAAACACCAGGCACATAGAGCTTTCAGCCAAGATATCAAGCTTTCTCCCTTTTTTTAATTCAGTGGCATTTAAAGCTTGGTACAAGGGAGACATAGTGATTGCATATAGTGATTGCAAGAATCCCTACTTATTGAGAGGAGAACCCCACAACAAACCTAAGAAAGCACAAGGAGTAGTCTTTTAAACACTGTTTTCACAGAGGCAGCACTTCCAAAAGGCAGCCCTAAGAATTCTTAACTCCAATCCTTTGGAGTAATCATCACCTATTCTACAAAGAGAGGAACAAACCAATGTATTACCACAATGGCAGTCACAAGACATCCGGTGTGGTTCATATTATATAGCATGGAAATGGGTCCCAGCAAAAAGACTTTACTCTGGAAAATTTTGACTTTTTTTAATAGCACAGAATCCATCTCTATGAGCCACAATGAAGAAATACAAACATGTTACTCTATCATAGTAACCGACTCATTTGCAGCTACATTCCATTTTCAAGATATTCACCATGAACTATGCAACCAAACCCTAAGAAATATTATCTAAAATTGTCACAAGCAGTAAACCTACTGATACTATTGTAATAAAAAGTTAACCAGATAATTCTTTAAAAAATCTAGTAATCCAGAAAACAATTATATTTCCAACCTACCACAACAATTAGGACAGTCTGGATGTAGTAGAGAATTAATTCCATAGCCTGGAAAACAGCGATTAACCCACACCATTTGCAGAGTGCCTTCAATGTAGTATATTTCAGGTAGCGGTGCTGTTCTTTTTCCAAGAACTTCAACTTGTTGGCTAAAAAATTTCTCTATTAGGTCTTTTGCCTGAAGTAAACAGAAATTACTTTCTTGGGAAAAGATAAAAATCAGCATTTTTCTTACTTGCTGGATAAAAATAAAAAATACAGAATACATCAATTACATTAACTCAGTGCTGATCCTTGGGTAATATATTTAGTGCAATACGTGATGAATAAACATTCTTATACATGACTAGAGAATGCCTTCATGACATGCTGGTTCAGGGGACTGTTTGTGGAGAGAGATATAATAGCACTGTTCAATTCCTGAAAGGATGTCAAAGAAGTCAAAACTTGTCCCTTCTCATTCCAGAGTGCAGGATGTGTAATACTGAATGTAAGTTGCAGGATAACAGAAATACAGAATAGTAGAAAAACTAAAGCATTTTTACAGTGGAACAATTGCCCAAAGAGGTGGTAGACATCCAATCTTTGGATGTGTCCAAGAAGAGGCTAAACAGCCATCTTTTTTGATGTTTTAATTGGGTTCATACAATGAGCAGCAGGTTGGACTGAATGGCCTAAGTGGCCCATTCCAACCATGATTCTGTAAAAGGAGTCTGGATGTCAAGATAATAAATGTTTATGATGGCTCAGAGAGATATAACAACCTTGGCTCCAATCATCAAATCTGATGGGATCAAATTTCTTGGTTTGGCCTGGTATTCAAATAACTACAGACTTGGTCAAAAGTGAGAATAATTAAATACACCTCTCCAATGAGAGGAAGCCTTCAAATCTCTCCCAATTACTCCTTCAATTTCTTTTCCTTTGGATGATGGATACATATATTTTATAAGAACTGGATGAATATTTAAGCCATTACACTTTTCTATGCCTCAGGATTTTTTTTTCTCCTGGCCTCAATAAAAGATTGGCTCCTAAAGTGTCCAGAGGGAGATGTGGAGGATTATTTATTTATATATGGCCACCCAACTAAAACCATGTACTGTGGGCAGCATATAACAAAAAAAGAAACAGCAATTAGGAAGCTGAATGAACATATTCTTTTGGGCTCACATTTAGCTCTTTTCCTGGAAGAATATTTACATTTCTTCCTTTTTCCCTTTTCACCTTTTATAGGGATAATGATCTATATTGACAATTGAAAGATTTTCCCACTCTCACAAATAATAAAACTTTAGTCTTCTGAAAACTGATACCCTTTTCCCAGTTAGGATAATTCTTGGGGTAACTGTTCTACACTGGTAAGAGCTTCTATTCACAGTTTTGCTATGATGTTTTTCCTGGTTTGGGGCCAAAAAGACACTAAAGCTGAAAGTATTTCTTGAAGTATTCCATCCAAGCTACTGGACTCTCAGATTTCCATTTTGTGGGCTCCCTTCCCTGACCTGTTAGCAATAGGAAAGAACTGTCATGGCTTAACAAGAGTAATAGCCTTACAATGAGTAAGAAAATCCTCTTATTTATAATTTAATTATAACTCGTACTGCAGCCTTCTCAGATGGGTGCTTATTCCTCTCCCTACCTTGCTAATGAAAGGTAAAGAATCTGGATCACTTACAGGGAAGTGTTCACTCACCAGGATTGCAACTTCAGTGCAAATAATCAATAATAACATAGCCCTTCTTGGTGCCTTGCTAAACAGTGGTCAGCTACCACACAGCACTGATATAAGCACACCATCTCAGCTGGAGACCCTAAGGGAATGAAGAGGTCCCTGGCTGGCTTTCCATAACTTTCTCCCCTTGCTATTGTCATCCATTTCTACCTTTATTGAAAGAAGTAAATATTGAGGGAAAGAGAAGAGTTAATATCCTAATGCAGCATTTTATATTCTCTTCTATTAATGAATGATGCCCACCCATTTTTACAGAAGAAAGTAATGGGATGGATGCAGAACCATCACCAAGTTGGAACAAAGTCTAATAATTTTACATACTGATCACTGTATCTGAAATGAGGTTTAGTTGTTTAGTATTGTCATTAACTGATTTGACAAAACTCAAAGAGAACTGAACTTGCTGCATGAACCTCTCTCTTGTTCCATCCCATATTCCTTGGTAATAAACTACATTCTCACTCTTTTTAAATCAACCCTTAACTACTTATGGAAAAAGAATATTAAAGCTATTTATTTACTTTTGAAGATAAACAAGAAGGAAGAGTAAGTACATTCTTGTGACGTTCCTTTTTTTTCTGGTGGATTTATATTACCTTTCGTAATCTTCTTGCTACATCACACACACTTTTCTGACACAGAGTTTTGCCTTTTACTGCTTCTAGAGAAGAAACTGTAAAAAAGTTTAGCTTTACAAGGGGAAACTGTATGTACTGTACAGCATAAATATTCTTGTTTGCCAAAGGAAATTAACTTTATTCATTTAAAAGACTCCTTTGTATGAATTTCAAGTCCTGGTGACTAGACATCCATGTCATTTTCCCGGCAACACTGCATAAATAGTGTGCCAATGACATCTTCAAAGGTATTTTTTCAACATCTCAATTTACTGTGCAGCCCTGTATTTCCTGGTTGTCCCCCATCTAAGTACTAACTTGGTCCATGCTGCTTGGGTTTTTGAGATCTGCCAAGGTCACCAAGATGTTCTCAGCCACTATGTCATCCATTGAAAAGCAAACTTTTAAATAATCACATAATGTATTCTTTTTTAGATTTTTTTATCCTGCCTCTGCTGCTTTTATATAACTCAAGGCAGTGAACATATCTAATACTCCTTCCTCCTCCTACTTTCCCCACAACAACACCTTGAGGTGAGTTGGGCTGAGAGAGAGAATAACTGGCCCAAAGTCACCCAGCTGGCTTACATGCCTCAGGTGGGGCTAGAACTCACAGTCTCCTGATTTCTAATGTATTTAATGTATTTTTAAAAACTTTTACACATAAAAGTATGCTGCATCACCAAATGTTACTTTTATCCTCAGTGTATATGTAAATCATGTAATGAACAATGTATTTTACAAGTATGTGTTGTATTCAGACCTCAGACCTAGAATACATAAATTAAAAGCCAAAGTTTTTAGGTTGAATATCGGGATCTCTATTTAAAGGACAACCTTGGAAAGTATTGTGTCCAAGATCTGTAACAGCACATGGCACTAGACTAAACAAACCAATGATCTGACTTGATGTGGAACAAAGGAGTAAGACTGGGACTGAAAGACCAACAGAATGTGTAGGTATAGGAAGACTATATGTTAAGTGAGTAAAACATACAAGCCTACAAAATGTATTTTCTACTTATGTGAATAATCACATTTTCCAATGTTATCCAGAGTTTTGTTACCCACTGCTTATCTTGCATATCTCTGCTTAGTAAATATGAACCTCATTATCTGCAGTAAAGAGTTTCACTTACCCATCGTTTTTGGAAAATTATTCTGTTTGGAGAATGACTTTTGGGATGTTTTCTGGGTGTAATGTACAAATGCACAAAATGATAGGATTTTCTGGATGGGTCAAGTATATTTTTTCAAAGTCTTATCTGTGGTTATCAGACTTGAATAGAACTCATGCAAATAATGAGGATCACTTGTATTTCAAATCCAGGTTGCCAAAGTCTATACTTTTTGCAATGAGTATTTACCAACATGTGCATGCAACGTTCGAACTTCACACATTTGGTGATGGACTCCAATCCACAGAAGCTTGTGCCACAATAAATATGATTATGTGGGACAGTCTTTCTCATTTCTTGATATATGGCATTCAATTTCAATTATAGCTTATTTTGGCAATTTTTACCAAGTAAACTGTCTGTTTCCACTATGGTCAATGATAAATCTGTGCATGTATAACTGTTCATTTCTTGCTAAATACATCAACATTTTGGAGAACTAATGTTCTATTACTCAGTAGTACAAAATTATGTTTTATTATTGCAAGTATATAACAAGGCAAAGAAAACTAAATAAAACTGCTCTGCTGAAATTATTATTTCAGTCATAATGTACTTCCTTAATGTATAATTAAAATGATCTGGTCATTTACTGAATCAGCCAGTTATCAAAATTATTCAGTTATATAGTATCAACTAACATCTCAAATTACTTTTTACATAACCTCTGTCAGATATACCTTCAATAAATGGGACAAAAATTGTTTTCAATATATCATGAAACACATGTATCCATGAACAACTCTTCAAATTAGTCTTACCTTTAAAAGTAAAGAAGATCTCATTTTGCATTCCAGCTCTCTGCATTTTTACATGATGGCATTCAGACTTCTGTAACGAAACCTCACAGGCTAGCTCCACAACAAGCTTGGCCAATATCTGAAGCAACTTCCTTTCAAAAGAAGTATTATAGATACTATTGCAGGGAGCTGAATGATATCGTGCTGTAAACTCATAGTAAAAGTTAGGATCAGAATAAGCTGCAGGAAAAAAATCACAAGTTTAGATTCAAACTTTTTTTTAAAAAAAGCAAGATACCAAGTTAACATTTTAAACAGCTGATTAAGATGTAAAAGTATTGCAGTAATTAATTTTTAAACAAGAATTGCACCAAATATTATCTCCCTAGAATATTACACTCAGGATCCGAGCAGCTACATTAGGTACACTTAAGTAGTTGACATTCTCCTGTGGGATCTTTTTCTTCTAAACAGCAGATTAAATTTTATCCAACTTCTGTTAAAATATTGTTCATTGTTCAAGAATCACAAGATTAAATTTCTTGATCACAACTCATGCAATGTTAAAGTTGAGGTTTATACACTTAATTTTTTTAGTCTGTTTTTAATTATCAAGGATTGTATACTAATTAAAACATTAGCTTAAGAGCAGAGAGATCAAGACTGAAAAATGCATTTAGCCATGAAAGTACAATAGGTAATCTGAGGCCAGATACTAAAACTCACTATCTTCCTCAAAGACATGCTGTAAAGATAAAAAGGAAGGATTCTACCACCTTGAATTACTCGCTGGAAAGCTGTGATGTAAACGTAATTCATATTTTCATGGGAAAAGATTCATACAACTCAAAAAGTGATCAGGAGAGCAGGATTTCTACATTAATGTACATTAACAGTAGCATACCCCATTAAAACTAGAGCATTATTTTTAAACGAAAATGGAGAAAAGAAGCAAATATAAATAACATAACTACAAACAACAGCACATTCAA